CTCCTTTGGGTGGGGCTGAGGGGTTGGGTGAGGACAAAGCTACCATAAACGAGAAGATGCTCAAGATCCCCACCGGCTAAATTAGATCAACCTGGGTCCCTTTCCTAGGCAGGAACCCCACTTCACGTCTCAGTCCACCACTTGAAACACCAGAACTCCTTTGGTGGTGACCACTGTGACCCCCAGAACTTCTGCTCCCTTGCAAAGCTTTATTTTGGATTGGGGTCATAAGCCTTTCCTCCCCAGTCATATAATAACTAATGCAACAAATATTTATCATGTGCAACTCTTTGCTGGGAACAGAGGGACATACAGTAAGAGACCTGTATTCACTACCCATGAAGCGTGAACGGTCTGTGAAAAGGGTGCTCTCACCATGGATGACAACAGTTCCCACCTCACAGGGTGCAGTGCAGTTAAATGAGTTAATGCCAAGTGCTGAGACCATGGCTCCCCAGAATAAGTGGTCAAGACCAAGAGCTGTGGGGTGAGGGCCTGATGCGGAAGTGCACTGGACTCCGGGGACCCAGATGAGGAGCCCATAGCTCAGACAGCTGGCAGCAGGGGAGGTTCCCAAGAGTAAGAGATGCACCTGCCTCCTGCCCCACTCCTTAGGACTGGGCCACTGGGGCCCCCTCTGGCCAGCGGATGGACGGGACAGCTGTAGATTGCCAGGCTTGGGTTCTGGCCCTGCTGACACCAACCCAGACTGTGGGTCCCACCCACGACCTGGCCATGTCCACAGCCCCCTCAGAAAGGAGCCCTGGGCAGGCCAAGGCGCATGGAAGAATGTGTGGGGAGGGGCCATGGAAGCCTCATGACAGACAGTGACCAGAAGAAAATGTCATCACTGTCCTCTCTGGCTCAGAAAGGGGGTGTGTGGCTGATGGACAGTCCCTGGCCAAGCAGCAGTCCTACAGGCTTGCAGGAAAGGCTGAGGGGAGGGCAAGGAGGCCCCACAGGATCAGGGATCGTTTACAAACCCCAGAGCCAAGGGAGGACTGGGGCTGGGGTGGAGGAAGTGTGGGGCTGGGGAGGGATGACCTGACACCTTGGAAGCTGGGTCCAGAATCCAGAGGTAGAGCTAAGGCCACTGGGCTTCCACGGTAGAAAGGAGACCAGACCAGGGTGAGGCTCTTCATAGGAAGAAAGATAGGGTTTGGCCAAATCCGGGTGTGGGGTGGCCCCTCTCTCCACAACAGTTCCCTCTGCACCACCCTTTGAACATGACAAATGTTACAGTCATCTATCCTCCTGAGTTCTCCATAAAATTGTTCACAACCCTTCTAGCTGTCTGATTAGGGACAGGCTATTGAACCTCTTTGAGCCTCTAGCTTTTTTGTCTGAAAAAAAAAAAAAAAGGTAAACAAAAAAAACGGGGTTAAAAACCCTGCCAACAAGGGGGGCCCAAAAGTGGGGGTCCCCCCGCAACAAAATTTCCCGGCAAATCCTCCCTGGTTAAGGTCCAAATTTTTTTTGGCTCTGGGCCCACAGTCCTGTGGTGACTTTATTCAAAGTTCTAATTCCAGAGAATGGAGACAAGGGGGCAGGTGAGCAGAAAGCTTTCTAAACCATCCCAAGGCTGCTCCAGGCAGAAGGAAATGAGCCTGAGAAGGAAGGTGACCTTGAAAGTACATAATTTGTATGTGTGTGTGTGGGGGGGGCGGTGGGCAGAAGGTGGTCTGTGCAAAATTCCTAGAGAGTCAAACTCCCCACCCAAAGGTATCCATCCCTGGGAAATATACAAAGGAAAGAACAGAGAAAACACAACAGCCAGATCCACAGTTAATTGAGTTGCAGGTGGCAGCTGAAGACAGACCCCTCTGACTATTGTGCCTCCCTCCCCCAGAGTAGCCCTCAGGTGACAGCACAGACCAACCACCTCTCAAAGGGAAATCATGGAGAGAGGGGAAAAGAACTGGGGAGGTGGGTGGCAGAAATGAGAAATTAGGCAAAGAAAAATGGTCCACAAAATGCAGAAACACCCCAGCATGCTTGCTTCCCAAACCCGGCCCATGAATCGAGGGGTGACAGGTCTCTCATCTCTGATGCCAAGAGCCAGGAGCTCCGGGCAGCCGCAGGTACTACATCTGCACCTGCCAGCACTTGGAAAGAGGCAATAAAGCATAGTAGCAGGGCCTGGAATGCTAAGTGCCTGCAGCTGGGAAAGGATTGCCTTGCAGCCAGAGCGGCTCACGGCACACGGCCACCGGGCAAGGGCAGGCTCTCAGAGACTGGACTGCACGTCCTCCCCACCCTGGGCAGCCTGCTGTCGGGGCAGCAGGCAGAGGCAGAGGCAGGACAGGTGCAAATGGAACCAGCCCTGGGGGCTGCCTGAGGCTGAGTACTGGCCCAGACAGACAGGGATCTTCTGGATGAAACCCAAGTGGGCTGGCTGATTTACCAAGGCTGGCAGAAAGCTGGGATGCTTGAGTCACTGGTAAATAAAAATGGATCATAAAGCACCCTGGCTAAGCCAGCCGTCTGCAAATACACCAGGGCCACATGCAGCTCAGAGTGTGGGCCCCATCGCTCGAATGGTAATAACAATAATAATGTTTATATGGCACTCACAGCAGTGGTACCAGACTCTGTTCTAAGTGCTGTGTGTGCATGTTAATTTACTTAATCCTCATAACAACCCTAAGAAGCTGGTGGGGGTATAATCCTCCTGTTACATACTGCAAGATGAGCACCGAGAGGCCAGAGAGCTAAGAACAGAGGTAGGGTTTGAACCCACACAGTTTGTTTCTAGAAGCCCTGCCCTAGCTCCACCGTGCCTGCCAGTCACCAGGGTGGCATGTTAACAACTCCTGACTCAGCCAGTCCAGGAGCTTGAGGCTGCATCACTAAGACGCTCCCAGTGAAGCCTGGTTCCAAGACCACACCTTGAGTAGGACGCTCTAAATTACTACATTACATTCCCGTGACAGCCCTTCAGCGGCGAAATGAGTTTATACTGGCTGCTCTGGTCCCTGGAGGCATCTGTGAATTCCTCAGTTAACAGAAAGAGGCACTCACAGGGTGTCAGAATCTAGGGGCTGGGGCTGGAGGAGGAGGCGTGAAGTCTTAAAATTCCCATGTCCATTTCATCTCTGCCTGATTCAATCAGAATGTCAAGGGAAGAGCCCAGATTGGAATTTTTGAAAAAGCTCCCTGGGTGATTCCGACACGTAACTATGGAAGATCCCTTCCAGTCAGACATGAGGGAAGCCTCAGTTAATAAGCCAGGCTCATCGAAAGTTCCACGGGGTCAGGTCACGGATCTCAAACGTGCTTTCAGAAGAGGGTTGGTGAGCCAACTCCTAGGCCAGCTAGGGGTATGGCTGGGTCAGCTACAGTATCCTGTTCCTGTTCCCTGGGGCAGCTCTAGAGGCAACAGGTGGCAGCTGGCAACTCCCAGTCTGGCTTGCCTTCAGAGACACCCTACTTCCCCCATCCGTGAGCTGTCAAGAGAGAACAGACACTGCCCCGGATCAGTAGTGGGAACTGAGGCTCTTTCAACTATACTTCAATAAAATAAATTTTAAAAAGAAATCTCAAATGCTCTGGCTATTTCCCAAGTAAGGTTACTGACAATTTTTATACTAAACCGAAGTATAATAAAACATTAATTTATGAGGAAAAAAAAAACAAAAAACAACCCTATCCTTGATGGCTCCTCTTAGTAATTTTCCATCCACTGACCTCTCACTTTGCTCCCTGGCTATAAATCCCCTCTTGTCCTTGCAGTAGGTGAGCCCAATCTCTCTCCCTTATTGCAACAGTCTTGAGTAAAGGCTTCCTTACTGCTTTAACAAGTGGCAGAATTATTTTTTTTCTTTAACACTCTCCTGCTTGAGGGAAAAGTCACCCCACAAAGTGAGCAGCCCTGGGTGTCAAGGGTAGACCTGATGCCACTGCCAACCAAACTGAGACTCCTAACCTTGACATTCAAGTCCCAAGCAAGGACTTCAAGGCTGAGATAATAAAATCAAGCCTTATTTGTTTCTTACGTGCACGTGTGCCCCACATTTAGGAAAACTAGATGGTTCACTGTTCCTCATAGACATCTGAACTTTCCTCCCATCCTACTGTAGTTTAGACTTTGCCTTCCACCTGGAATGTCTCCTTCCCATTCTTCTAAGTTGCAGAGATCTCTTCCTTTATGACAAGACTACTTATCCCCAGTCTTGGATTCCCCCTGTCTTCCACAACTACACAAACTCATCTGAGCTGGGTACATGGTTCTCCGGGATAAAGACTATGCTTAAAGACTATATTTCCCAGCCTCCTCTGAGGTGCATGTGGTCACATGACTGCATTACAGCCAATACAATACGAGCAGAAGCCATGTGCTTAATTCCCAGAGTGCTTATGTTCTTATGCCTCTCCTCCTCTTCCTATGTGATGCAATGGCAAGAACCTCTACAGCCATCTTGGACTATGGAGTGATCTTGAACTTGCAAGCTACACATGGTGGAGCAGCTAGGTTCCTGACAACATGGAATATCATGCCAGCATTGGGCTGGCCCCTCCAGACTTGCACGTGAGAGAAAAATGACCTTCCTTCCATCTTGTAGTAGTCACTGCTCTTTTGGAATTTTCTGCAACTCATAGCTGAACTTGATGCTATTAGAGTCCCCCTTTCAAACCCATGGAGGCATAGACTCTGGATTTTGGGGATAATTACTATACCACACTACACAGACTCATAATTTGCATCTCTTCCCCAAGTTAAATACTAAGCAGTGTGAAGGCTGGGACTGTGTCTTATCCAATTCCATATTCTCCTGCCATGTGAAACAAAAGGCCTCATACATAACACAGAGCATGTCTTAGGGTTGAAATGAATTCCATCTGCGTACTACACTCCACACAGCCTCCCAACTTGCATCCATATTCGCAACATGATACAAGCCTTCCTGGAAGGGTGCACCCAAGTGAACCCACCCTTTGTCCCTTCCAGGAAGCTTGTTTCCCACCACCCCCCCCAACCCCCTGGGAGAAGCTTGCTTTACCAGGATGTCGGAGCCCTTAGGCTCCTCCCCAGTGGCTGGGCTGGAGCAGTTGTTGAGTTTGAATATCCAGTACTCCTGGGCCGTGACAAAGAAGTTCCATGGCAGTAGGCCGCCGATGCCCAAGCTGAAGAAGATGATATAGGTACCGTTGTAGCGGTCCTCGGGCCTCTGCAGGCTGGGTGGCGGGTGGTCCAGCAGCTTCTCAAGCAGTGCTTCTTGGTCAGCTCGGAGGGAGCTGCTTGCAGTTCTGTAGGTGGAATTGGAGGTATGACGAAAGTCATCCTCTGAGATGATGGCCACTGTTGGAGCAGAGAGACAGGGCACATGATCAGAAGCTGAGGCCAGGTACAGCTGGAGACTCACCCATCTTACAGATCTGATTCTGCTCCTACCTGGGGATCTGTGGAGTCACCAGAGTGGGATTAGAGAGCTTCAGATTTAATTATTAGGGGCAAAGACAAGATGTCAGAATTGCAAGTGACCTCAGGATCCCCCCAAACTATACAGAGGCCACATGATAGCAGACAGGTTGGTTGGGAGTAAGGCAATGGGGCTTAGTGGGGCCTGTAGCAGTCAGTCCAGAAGGGCAAACCTGGTCTCAAGGCATTCAAATTTCTAAGCAGTCATAACAAAAAGAATTAGGCCCCTTGACGAGCCAAGAACGCACTCTGAACTCTTTTCAACTTTATGGGAGAAAATTAAGGAGGAGGAAAGTGTGTAGAATATGGTACTATCTGTACATAAGAAGTACAGATGGGATAGGTGGGGAGGGGAAGATATATATGTAAGTATAACCTCTGGAAGGATACACAAGAAATTTCAAACAATGGTTGTGAGGAGCAAGGCTGGGGATTTCACTGCATGTTCTTTTGTGCCTCTTGAATTTTGAACTTTGTGAGTGTATTATCTGTTCAAAAATAAAAATTATAAATAAAAATAAAGCCTTTCAAATAACATTAAAAAAATAAACCTCATAGTGTCTAAAGCTGCCCCCAGAAGCTGGTTTGAAACATCTAATAGTCCACTCCCTCATTTCACTGTGGGAAAACTGAGGTCCAAAGAACAGGTCACAGATCAGGCAAATGGCCAAGCCTGGGTTTACAGCTCCTGCCTGGGCCCCCACCTCTGTTCATCACATCCCACCACGAGACAGCAATTCCCCATCTGCAGTAGCAGCTAAGACAAACTAAAGATTCTGAGTTGCCAGTAACAATTGTGTACACGGCCTCGAGTAAGTCACCAAGTTCTGAGCCTCACTTTCCCCATCTGCAAACCCGGGGAAGCCTTTTTACAATGGTTATTGTAAACTGCAACTGGCTGGCAATGCCGATAAATGTCAGCATCTTCCCTGCCATCCTGGGCTTGTCAGCTGGCTGGCTGGCTGTGGAGTTTGGCTGCAAGGTAGCATGCCTACTTCTATGCTCTATATAGCACCTAGGCTGTGGCAGCAGCTTGATAAATGGGAAATATTTCCATAAAACTGAGGATGGGACACTCCGTAGTCCCTTCTGCCATAAATAAATCAGTGCATCCAGGCTCACATAGGAGGCTGAGCCTTAACTCAGCATTAAGCCAGGCCAGGAGAAATGCGAACACTCTGTCACAGAGGTATAGGGCCTTATCTGCTATTTCAGGAGAGCCTCACAATATTTCTCAGAATTAAGCAGGACAGGAATTATTGCTTCCTTTTTATCAGATGCAAAGAACGAGGACGTAAAGTTACTTGATTTGTCCCACATTCAAACACTGAGAATTCCCAATAGTTAAATCCAGCACTGGGCTATGTCCAGGTCTGTACCTGGCACTTGAAGCTGATGACAGCCCAATATGGTAGGTGCTACTCTAAGACCCATTTCACAGGTGAAGAGGGAGGCTCAGAGAGGCTGAGTAATTTGCTCAAAGTCATGCAACTAACAAATGGCAAAAGTGAGGTTACTCAGCCAATCAGTCTGAGGGTCATGTGGACTCCTTGGCCTCCCTCGGAGGAAGGTGGTTGGCAATGTGCAACCTTGTCTACTGGCTCCAAGTACAGACTTTCTGGAAAAATTCCTGGTCAGTGAGCTGTGAGCAGAGGAGAAGGCAGCACTGCAGGGCACCCTTATCAATATCTGCTGAACGAATGGATTCTGAACAGCCAGGCTATGTACCCCTACTGGAGCAGCATCTATCCTGCAGCAGGCAGGCAGGAGGCAGCCGGAAGCCCAGAGCATCTGTGTCAGCAAGTCTATTTTAAACTCCCCTGGTTGAGCAGAGCCTTTTCCCAGCTTTGATTCACAGGGAGCTCAGCACTAACAAACTAACCAGACAGTGTGGCTATGCACGCACATGTGTGCACACACACATACAGTTTCTATATTAGTGTTTAAAAATGTAAAAATTATGACCCACGTAGGACAACAGACAATGGGCAAGTGGTTCTTTCCAGATGCTCCAAATCCAGGGGTGGGTTCTGCGGCTAAAGTTCAGTCACTCAGGCCACACTCGGCTGGAGTCCATTCTCAGCTCCAGGGGCCTATTTGTCCAGGACCATTCAGCCTTGACCAAGCTTCTGAAAGAGCCAGGAATTTTCTCTCACTCAGGTCACAGGCCGGGGCACTGGAGTGAGCAAAGTCTTATTACTCTTTATGAAAGCTAGCTGTGGGCTTTGTATTAAAAAGGAAGAAAGGCAAAGAAGAGTCCCGGCATCCCCAGGGCCAGACGGGCGATGCCCTGGGGTGTGTTCTTCAGGCACCTGTCGGAATCAGCAGGGCTCAGCCCTGGTCCTGTCCTGGTTGACCTGGGGCAAGGGGTAGACCCTGCTCAACGCAGCAGGAACTCGTGGGGCCTGGGGCCACTGCAGACCATCGTCCAGGTCTGGGCGCTGGTTCCCAGGAAGTTTTTGACTGACTCTTAAGTCAATCTCGCCTTTGTGCCTCGATTTCCTCACTTGGGAAATGGGGCCAAGGGGCTGGTAAGGCTACCCTATGGGAAAGCTCTGTGGGAAACACAGGGCGCCACCCAGAGGCCACGGCAGAATTTTCCTTGGGGTCGGGGACACCCCCAGACTCAGGCGCCCCAATTTTGGCTCTCAGCCACCTTCTGGATACCTTGGGCTAACTAGTCCATATCCAGGCCCCCCACATCCAAACGGTGAGGTCCGATCTCAGGAAATTCCTGAGGGGGCGGGAAGAGAATCTGGAGGAGAAAGTAGACCCAGGAGGAGGGAACGTGAGAGGAAAGTGAGAGGAGAGAGCAAGGGAGGAAGAGAAGGGACGCCGAGGAGAAGGGTCACAGCGAGAGGCGTCGAGCCGAACCGGAGGCCGGGTCGGGGTCCTGAGGCTCTCGTGGAGCACCCCCAGGAGGGCCGCGGGGTTGTGGTGGGGGGAGGCCGCCCACAGCGAGAGCCCGGGGAGAGACCGGGAGCCTGAAGAGCTGGGCGGGGGCCAGGCCCGCGCCCGACCGCCGGCCCGCACTTACTGTCGCCGCCGCTCGCCGCCACCGCCGCTGCCTCCCGGGCTGCCGCGGCCACTGCGACTCGGGGCTCGGCCGGCCCTCGGGCCGGGCTCCGCCTCCAGGCCCCGCCCCCCGCCCCACCCCTGGCGGCGCTTCCGGGTTTGCAAACGGGTCTCCTTTCGCCACCTGGCGCTGTTAAGCGAGCGGCAGGCTGTGGGCACAAGCCCAATGCACAGGTGGAGAGAGTGAGGCGCCGGCCGCCAGGTGCACCGCCCAGGCTAGCGCGCGAGTGCACAGTGAGTCGGCTCCGGGTGCTGCCGCCGCTGCTTCCCCACCGTGGAGCCGGACCACCCCGTCAGCTCCCAGAGCCCTGCGCCCTAGGACCCGGAAGAGCTCTCCGCCCGCTCCCAGGCAGCTGCGGAGTCTCACCTGCGCCTCCCTGATCCCCTACTGTTCTCCGCACTCGCGGGGACCCTCCCGGGTGCTAGCACCTTCCAGAAGCTCACTGGCAGAGGCAGAGGAGTAGCTGGGAGGGCAGTACACAGTCCTCAGGACCACTCCGACCCCATCAGGCCCTCGCACCGGCCGCCAGAACTTCCTGTCTGAATTACCGCCCAAGGCAGTCACCCTCTCTCCGCTTTGAGCTGACGTCCACGCTCATTACTGTCCCATGCCCGGAGGGGCCGGAGTTGCCCTGTGCCCCTCTCACGGATCTGAGAAAGCTGGGCTTGGAGGAAGCCCAGACGGAAGTGTGATGTAACGCTAGGTCTGTCTGGTTCTAAAACTATTGAGAGGCCCCTGACCCCACAGGGGTGGGTCAGCGCTGGGTGCTCTCAGGGCCACGGGGAGGTGGCAGCCTTGCTTCATCGTGAGGCTCGCAGAACACTGTGCGTCCTTCATTAAGCAGACCTACCATGCGCCACGACTGAGCGACTGAACTGAACTATGTTCCAGGCCCTACAGTGGGGCCTGTGGTGTGTTAGGGTCAGAAATATATTTGATCTGGTCTCTGGTTCCTGATAGACTGTTTCTAAAACCCATAGAATTTCCTGAGTGATGGGGGTGACAGGAGGGTTTTTTTTGTTGTTGTTATTCAAGCCCATTTAAGCCACACCTGAGTTGATGCTAATGAGGTGGGCTTGGTGGCCCCAGATAGCTTCTGGATGAGGGCTGGTGGAACCCACCCGGGGGGATTAGAAGGTTGGAACTTTCAGCTCCATGCCCTGTCTCTAGGGAGGGGAGAGGAACTGGTGATGACCTAACCACCCATGACCAATGAGTTAATTAACCATGCCTACATAATGAACCTCCATAAAACCCCTAAATGATGGGGTTCAGAGAGCTTCTAGGTTGGCAAACACATCCACCTTCAGGGAGGGTGGCACACCCCAACTCCATGGGGACAGAAACTTGGGACCTGGTACCTTGTTCATTTTGTACCCTTTGTATAAAATAAACCAGTGATAGTAAGTTTTTTCCTGAATTCTGTAGGCTATCCTAGCAAATTATTGAAACTGGAGGGAGTGTGTGGGAACCCCTGATTTTGGCACCAAGTTGGACAAAAGTTCGGGCACCCTGGGTACTCTATACTTAACGACTGGAGTCTGAAGTTGAAGTAGGGGCAGCCTTGTGGGACCCCTCACCGTGTAGGATCTGTGGCTCCAGATAGTGTCAGAATTGAATTGTTGGATCCCCAGCTGGTGTCCAGAGAGTTGGAGAATTTGTTGGAGTATACATATAAAAAAGAAACCCACTGCATCTGTTGTCAGAAGTGTTGAGAGAGTAAAAACAATGCGAAGACCCAAAGGAGGAAAGGGCTGGGGTGTTGCTTTGGAGGAGGCTTGCCCTCTGCCTGGGGGACAGGCCA